AAGGTGGCAACTTGAGGGCCGAAACACTGTTCCATTCGACACGGGGTTAGATGGTCTTGGATCTTGAAGCCCCAGCAGCTAGTTCCCCGATATCAAGAGATGGTTACAGCAAAACGTGGCATGGTGGAGGTTCGTTGGCTCATATCTTGCACCAACCCCTCACGTGTGTCCCCTTCATGGCAAGCTGCTCCGCGTCCGCTGTTGACCAGTCGTTCCTCCTCACCACTGGAACTGGCTCTTGCCCTCGAAACTTGTCTTACTCACCACCTGCTCTCCAATCTTCGCGTCCAGCCGCTCCTCAGTTTGGCCGAATGGGGCCAAAAAAGCAGGGCTCCAGCAGTTCGAGTTGATGTCCAGCATCACCAAATCTTGCAAACTGGACAATCCTAAATTCTGTTGTCCCGTCCCACAGGCAAAAAATATCAGAACATGGAGCCCAAAAGGAACGTGGTGGGCTGCATTTCAGATTTCAGAACTTCTAGCCACTGGCCTTGCATCCGAAGCTGATTGTCTGCGTGATCCACTTGGTGGTGCTCAGCTATGTTCATTCTTTTAAGTGACGACGTGCTTTATGAGGAAAAATGATGGACTTAAGGTGGTGCCCAACACGAAACAACCAAAAAGCTAATCACACCCGAAGCTAAAAGCGAAAGAATCCATCTTCGGCTCAGGCTTAGCCGTTGGATCCGGCTTGAGAGTGGGGCGGCCACCCTGCACTGCAGAGACCCACCAGATCTTTGACTTCTTGCTGAGCTCAAGCGATAGAAGACCATCACCTGCAGCGCAAGGAAGCACTGACTTTTTTCCAAGAAACGTGTGATTCTACATGACTCAACGGGGGAGATGCAAACCAACAAGAAACACTTGTGTCTCATCCTCCTTTCTGGCAATTGATGTTGATCGCTTGTCCCAACACGTCCCAACTATCATCGAACCAATTCTCGCAACAAAAGGCTGGATTTCGGACATAGATCTTGGACAGCCCGAGGAGGCCCGTGTGGCGGATTGAAATGAGACAAACCCCAATGTCAGTGGTGTATTTTTATGGACCACCATCTAAAGGACATCTTGAGGTCCGTGCCATCTACTCTAAAACCACTGTACACTTGGTGGTTTTTCCTGCTTCTGAAACGGCGCGCACCTTTGTTCTTCTATTAAGAAGAGCAGTGATATGATCTTTACTTGCAGAGTGCCTGCACCCAAGCCACCAGAAGCGTATTTATCCTTTCCGCTTCTCGACCAAAGACTGAACACGACTGGCGATGTCAGTAATGTGAATACCGGGTTCATACCCCCAACGAGGATCTAGAGTCTAGAAGGTCTGTGTTCTATTGTCAGACAAATTGGTAATATCACAGACCTTCAAAAATTAAAAAAGACTGAATCGCAAACCCAATCCAAAATGGATGGAACTACCATCCAAAAGGCTGAATCTCTTCATGTGGAGGAAGCCCAAAGATAAGCAGGATTAAAAAATGAGTACAGGCACGATCTGGAACCGCAAATCTGACTATAAGTGTAGGGTTTCATACTTCAAGGATGCTGTTTATGAGATCAAACTATGTTTATGCATGGGAATGCATGTTGTTCCAAGGAACTGCATGATTCAGCACACGAGCATAAGAAACACATAAGATGCAAATGAGGAATGATGAAGGGAATGTGAATCCATCAAGCTTCTTTGATTGGGATGAATTGGCCACAGGAGGATTGACCATTGATGTGGGGCAGTCATGAATAGAGGCTTTTTGTGGGACCCTGTTGGGAGCTTGAAACACAGCCCTTGCCCAAAAGAAGGGCTTATATACAGAACATTTTTGGATGTGGTTTTATGATTCTGTGTGTCGAAGTGAGGAGCACTGAGATATGATGAGATAAGCATGAGCTGCCAAATTCATCGAAATGACTTCAATTACGGCCTGAGAGGTGGTATGGGCAAGCGTCGCACACCAGGATGCCTTGCATGTGACCCAAGTAAGCTGGTAGGGTATGTGTGAGGACAGAAGGAAAATGCCCTGTAAGTACATGTTAGCTGTCCGAATAAGATCGAGCATTGTAAGGGCTCCACTTTAGGGGCACGGTTGGGAGGGGCTTAGTTCTGAAAGGTTCTTGGAACCCCCTTCGAGTTCAAAGACCTTCTGCGAACCAGGAGGTGGTTCCTAGAATGAAAAAGGGTTCTGCGAAGGTCAAAAAACAAGGTTCTGCGAACCGAATCGGTTCTCCGAACCTCATTGGGGTTCTGAGTGGTTTTAGTACCCCCTGGGCTACGCCGGTTCGCAACTACGCCCCCAATGTGGAGCCTGAATTGTAGCACATTAGCTAGTCTAGCAAATGAGGGAGTTATACTTTATCCAGTGTTGACATTGTCGGACAGGCTGGGGGAAGGGAAAAGCGAGGCAAGCGTTCCAAATCCTTCTCAGTCGCTCAGCGTCCAAGTGCTCTCCTCCACATTCACCTCTCCTTGGATTTAGCAAACTGGTTGCTCAACATACAAGTGACTGACTACATGATTGGGGGAACAAAAGGCGTGAGTCACTCATCTGACATGACTCATCAGCGCCTGAATCGGGTGACTGGGAATCTACTTGGAGAACACCGACAGCGTATGACACCGACAGCGTCCCAACCAGCAAAAAGTGACACCTAAAGCTAGCCGTCTGGAAGGACGGCTGCGTGGAATAGAGCTCGCACCCACTCAAGCTGCGTCCATTCTTGGCCCAACAAACACGGGGACATGTGTAAGGTCCATGGTGCATCCTAGCGACAAACCCCAGTCCATACCCAGTCCAAGACACCTCCCAGTTCCGCGTCTAACAGCACTGCCTCTCCCAGCGTCACTTTGACCCAGCGCGCACGGATCTCCACCGTGGGACGTTGACCAGATCCGGATGTGGACACCACCAAGGAACAAAGATCGCTGCTCTGCATCCACGCACAGCTGGAGGTCTCTGAATCGAAGATGGGCTCCATGGGCTCCATGGGCTCCGGGCACAGCTGGAGTCTGTGCGAGTCCGTGCGAGTCTGTGCGAGGTGGGTGGCGCTGGGTTGAACAAAGGGCGACTTGGGCGTCCAAACCGAGTCACTTGAAAGGAGCGATGTGAAGACCTCCTTCAATACCGTAAATACGGTTGCACTGTGCAACTTAGCAACTGATGAGCAACATGTTCGATCTGCAACACTATTTGAGTCTTTGACATTTGAGACCACATGGTGAAAGGACGATGTGGACCTTCACGCAAAGGACTGTTCTTAGCACATCTGTAGGGACTGCTCGTTATGGAACTCCGTGGGTCAAAATTGATCAAAGGAGGGAGCAAGCAGCATAGACATGTCTTTTAAACTAAGGGGGCCCGTGTGTAGCCCTTAGCATGCTAACTCCTAACCAATCAATCTACCTCCAAAACGGTCATCCAAACCAGCGGTACATGATGATGTGGTCCAAAATCCCGCCCAAGTATGCAGTATGGAGGAATGCTGACTCCATGGGCCGAGACTGATGGATTCTTCAAAGCATCGACGACCTAAGGTCCGAGAAATCCTCAGGTCGATTCAGGGCGCGGGCTGCCCAGGGACATATCTCGTGTCTACCTTTTTCTGTATGTGTTTGTCCTTCTGTGAGACTACAAAAAGCTCTTTTCCACGTTTCCTTCAGTCCAAATGGAGCACTCTGGTCAGCCACTCGAAACAGGAACAGCCATGTTCCACGACGTACAACAAAACTGCGGAAGCATCGACAACAAACCGTCAGTAATGGAAAAGGCTAACCTTACTAGCCCAGACCATTCATGTAATTTATGGAATAATAGTCATATACCTGCATTTCGTGCATTTACCCCATTTATGACCCCAATGTAGTAACTGTTCCATACATGGATGGTCTGGGTAGAGGTTCATATAATATGTGTTGCCGTGATTCACAATTTTGGTGCAATAAATGGCAACAACAAACCATAGGTACGGTTCTCTCAAGGGCTTTGAGCATTCATTTCATAAGAAACGACTTGACTCAATTGGAATCTCTACCAGTACCTGGTAAGTTGTTAAGCTAGTAACAAAACTCCGCCACTGCCTGGCCACATGAACTGTTATTCATTATAGTCACCAAAGAATTGATGCACGAAAAAGCGGCAAGAAGGGTCACCATTCGCGCTGAAAGAAGGGTCACCCTGCCCACCCTGCTCTCTGCACCTCGCCAATCTGTTGCTTTTTTCTCTCCAGCTTGGCTGAGATCGAGTGCGGCGTGGCCCCAGGTCGAAGGCCCGAGGACAGGATGGTTTTCCTCAGTTGTTCATCCGATTTCTTCCTCCTCAGTGTGGAGTTCTTCACCCCCGCAACCGGGCGAAGAGTGGAGACCGTTTGGAGGACAAAAACCAATGTCTCGACTTAGCTCGGCATTTGCGCTCCCAAGAAAGGATTATTCATACACATGTTGGGGCTCTGAAAAACTAGGATACCCTAGGAGGTTTGTCAAACAAAGAATTATGCAGTCGGGTCTGGAGGTGGCTCGTACAACTCGTGCGACAATAATCATGAAGCCTCAGCCAGAACAAGGCTCAGCCGGATCCAAACACTGAATCACGTCTCCCCCAGCCTTAACATCCCCGAACTAGGCCGCTAAGCCGCATCTGTATCCCTACGCGGGATGTAAAACTGCTTTGTCACAGGTCGCTTTCAGATTCGGAAGCTACGAGTGGTACAATTCACGGTGGCAAAGAGATGAGCTGTGGGTGGAGGTGACTATCGGAATGCACAAAACTGTATATGTGGGAAACAAAAGAGCTCTCCTGCTGGATCAGCAGCTGTCAAAGCTTAAATTTCGGACAGAATTGTATCTTGTATTGATCGCCATCGTATCCTCGGCCAATTGCTTGAAAGGTGGCGTTTAAAAATACAGCTCGAACCCTTTTAGGCATTGGTAGCCTTGCAAGGGTTTTTTTCGGAAGCTGCCGAGATTCAATAGGCCAATAGGCATCCACCAGAACCCTTATATAGATAAAAGTCCTGCAAAAAAGCAAAGCAGCGGCAGCTTCCAGCCATGCGCACCGCGTGAGTACGCGCGCAAACCCGCACGGCTCCCGAAATCATCGGCCCTCAGCTGGTCGCTAGGCAACGTGTTCACTGGGGCACACCTGGGCAGTGAGCAATGCCGTGGCTTGAACCTGGACCCTCCAACGCGAGGCGAACGAACAGCCTCATGTCTATCACCCCATGTTAACCATGGACCAAGCAAAGATCGCCGAACTTGGAAGGTAGCTGTTTATAGTGAGGAGCAGCCAAACGCGCCAAACCCAACCCAACTCTCAATCCAGCCACGTAGTTCTGTTGGGAATCGGCAACGTGGCCCGCAAGCCCATGACCAAAAGCACATTTACCGTTTACCTCCTCCTGGTGTACGGCTAAATAGGAGTTCGACCTGGAAGAGAAATAGAACAACTCCATTCTATCCCCCCGGAAACCGCGACACAAAATCTGCCACCAGGGGACGGAGCGCGGCTCATCAAAGGTCAAAAAGGCTCTGCAAGGCATGGCTCATCAAATCCTCTGCCGCAAGACTCGGGACGAAGCTGGAGCTGGGTGACACCTGCGGCGCTGCGGGAGGGAAGAGAGATCGGGGGGGAAGAAAAATGGAGGGCTGGGGGACCATGGGGCCCTGGAAACCTAGAATCAAATTTGTGAAGATCACGAGAAGTAGTGTCCATTTGGTTGCATATGTTATCATAGGGCAACATAAAAATGCTCATACATCTTATATAAGTAATATCCCCTTCTACGTTAAGACGATACGTCAAGCATTGCAATTTTACAGTACAAACACTGCCGCATACAACCTCCCAGTGGGTGTGCACTCCGTAAAATGCTTGAACCACTGACATTGATAGCCAAAAAATATCAATATAACATCATAGACCAGTAGCCAAAATGGAGTAGCACAAACCAGCAAAAAAGTCTAGTCTATAAAATCATAGGCCCCAAGTACCGTCGAACACCAATACATATTGTTTAATATATTGCAATTGTCTATATAGATATCTACAAAGCCAAAGTAGGTTGCCAGCTTAATGAGGATGGGTGTGATTATTTTATAGAGTGTACATCTTCAATATGATGAGCGTCTGCAACTCACAACCTTTAAAATGCCAAACAAACATGCGTTATAAATATGAAGCAGCCAGGCTCCAATCTTTTGCAGCATGCAAACATGATTTCACTATAGAATCACGAACCATCGGTCTCTACAAAATCATAACATGTTTTAAGCTGCCACTGTTCATACTCCAACCAGCACAACACAACATTGCAAAACTATCCACGCGTTTGTTTTATTCAATGCCCGAGGAAACCACCAAGAGGATGTACAATATTACACCGATGTCATGATGTTGCTGGGATAGCGTGCTTTGGGGTGTCAAAGCTATTTTTCCGAGTGCCAACGTGGTTCTTGCAGAAAAACATGGACCTGTTAACTCAAAGTAAGATGATCAGGGCCAGTTCGTAGATGATGACCCAAGAATTAGTTTACGGTCCAACTCACCCCCTCCCTGAACGCTGGAAAGCAGCAAGTCTGATTTCATTTAGTCTGTCCAAAAACAGTGCGGAACCGCGCTGGTTGCAAAATTCCATGAGCGGAATTCAGGGAAAGCAACCATCAGCCGCCAGCCTTGCAGTGCATTTTATGGTATGCGTAAGTCACTTGCTGCCCTCGGATTCGCCAGGGGGAGAACATCAAACATCCTTCCCCTATGGGCCCACTGGCACTCTCCGAGAAGGTGATTGGGCACTCTTTAATGTAGGTGCCAGGACGGTCCAAGTACCCTCTGAGAAGGTGGATCCACGTTCTAAAATCTAACCGCTTTTTTGAGGAAGTCGAGATGTGCCGGGTCCCAAAACTTTTTTTGACCCGTTACCCGGTGCAAATCTTTGAAAACACTCCGGAATGACCTCTGCCCAGGTTTCACGGGATTAGACTGGACGAACGTAGGGAATACCATTTCCCTGGGTTTCGTGCGCCCTCTGAACCCAGGCGCTTGGCGTCTCGCGAACGAACCGTCGCCTGTCCCGGCGAGTCGTGCTCCACCACACTGGCCGAGCGCACGGTGCCACTGCTCTCAGCGTCCCAGTGCAGGTGCCTTGGTGTCTGGATGTGTCTGGCACGTTCGGTGCGATGGATGGAGGGTGAGCACCAGGGTGGATGGAGGTGAGGCAAATGGAGCACTTGGACTGCTGGACATCGGTCAAAACATGGTGTGCACGCCACGTGGCGCCATCACGTGGCGCCACCGTGGCGCGTTTTTCGCGAGTCACGGCCTTTCGGTGGTAGGACCCTTCAGCCAAGTGAAGCAGGTCTATATATGATCTTAAATGATGTTAGATTTGTGTGTGTGGACTGATGCACCTGGACCGGACTGAGGACCATACCTGGAGTGGACATGCCCAAGTACTAAGTAATAATCACACTATATGCGGACCGTACCGGATGTGACTACGCCACAGGTGCTACCTTCGAACGCTCAGATCCAGTGCAGTTTCACTGGGCAGGTAGGGACACCATCATTTCACCTCACCTCGCCTCGCTGCACGCGATGCTGTTCGAATAAAACATAATAAGACCAAACGCGTTGATCCGGCATGCCTACTACATGACACCCAGGTGTATGGGGTATGAGGTCCGGGGCCTCCACTCGGCAGGTGGCTCATCCTGAATCCTGATCCTACTGTTTGGCGAGTGGAGGATCATCTTGGTGACTCTCAGCAAGTCTGACTTCACTGGTCAGGTCAGCTTCGAAGCCTCCGACCTGCTCGGACTGCCGTGCCGCCCACCGCGCCGAGCAGCATCTCCAGCTGCAACAGTGCGTCGCTGGTCTCCATCGGAGACAGCAAAATGGCCAAGCATTGGGCACGTGCCATACGGACCTGGGAACAGGCGCACCAAAGTTGTTGGACAAAAACTCGACACGACGTGGGACCCACCTGAAATGGAGAAAACATGAGAAAACTACAACTGTTGTTGGGGTCGTGTAGTCACTATATTCACTTGCTCCTGATGGCGAAACCGTGAGCCGTTGAAACTTGGGGCCTTGTGACCAATTGAAGAACCAAAGTTAGTAAAAACTGTTGCGATGAGATCCTCGCAGCTCACTCCACGCCCATTTGTAGCTCAGACCATCAAATCATCCATCGGCGAAATCACGTAGTCGCCACACGCCTTCATTCACGAGCGGAGCCGGCTCACTCACACCCTCGCCTCATAGCTTTCGTAGGCCAAGCGCCGCAGAACCAGATTCAGTGCCGCAGCATCTGCGCGCTCTTCTAGCGCGGCGTTCTCTGCGTCACGCCTGGGAGGTGTGGACGAGATTTGTTGAAACGGGGCAAGCTCAAAAAATGGTAGTACTTCTGGATGGACACAAACACCATCCGACAAAGAGATCTTGAAATCTACATCTGTCTGAGACATCTAATGTACTTTTCTAAGATCGTTCTATTTTTGTGACTGGTACGGTACGTGGCAGTCAGCAAACTCAAACGTGGTGCACGAAGATCGTTCCTTTCTCATCCAAACATCGTCGTAGAGTCGGCGCGACAAAAAAACGATCTTTTCGGACACCACTGGGGGACTCCACGTGTTTTTGGAGTTACGTCGTTTTCGGCTGCCCATTTTCTCTGGAGTCCGATGGCTTGGCTTCGGTCCTTTTCGGTCGAGACCTCACCCATTCTGGGAGACTTCTAGGTTTTTGTCAGTGTTAGTCCAATCCTGTCTGACACGAATTCCTGCCTTTTTCTCTTTAGAATGCGGCTTGGTTCTAACAACTCTTCCTGCTTGACCAATGCAGCTTCTCATTGCCAAGTTCTACTGAGCAATGGTGGCGGCTGCTGTCAAACATGGTGATCGAAAAGGTCTGTCAGTTCTGGATAATGGCAGCGGTTTCAGAGTAGATGGCACAACCCCAAAAATGTCATTTAGCTGGACATCACATTTGATTCCATATACACCACCGACATTGGGGTAACTTGTGCCATCTTCTCTCAATCCAGCACATTGGATTGAACTGCCACTCACCCCAGTCTCGTCTGGCGGTGATTCGGCGTCATCTCTCCGACGCGAAATGGGTCGAAGCAGCGAAATAGGTCGAACAACCTTTTTCGCCGTCTCAGTGGTTTCAGAGTTGATGGCACAATCCCCAAGGTCGGTGGTTTATATGGACCCTCATTTGTTCAGGACATCTTGGGGTGCCAGCGCCATCTACTCTGAAATCACTGCAAATGGGTTGAACAAAGAGAAATTTGCCATGAAGACTCCGGACGAGGAGAATTTTGGATAGTATTCATGAGGCAATCAAGAAGCCACAATACGGTGGCATGCACAGATTCGACTATATTTTGACAACACTTCGTTAAGTACGTGGTGGATGAAATTAAAGACTTGAATTGTCTGGACAACAACGTGTTGTTATCAATCGATCTGTTTGCCTATAACATTTACAACTCAATCAATATCATCAGCAACAATCTCTTGAATATCACCAGTTATAGCAGTGTAAACTTTCAATCCGGGGGCATTAACATGAATTCAGGTTGTGCCTCGGCCTGACCATTGCATCAAACTCAGGACTTGTGGCCATTTGCACCTCTACAGCAAGGTTTTTTTCGATAGTCTCACTCATGGGAGAAGCAATCCTTACAAAGGTTTCCAGCAAAAGAAACATATGTCTGCAATTATCTGCACCACATATTCAACCTATCACGGAAACAACTAGGACCTTAGGAATTCACGCAATCAAAAAGCACAGTTCTTCCAAAGATCAATCACTGCTGGTACCCACACCTACAAGGGTGCATTTTCCCGTCTACATCTGGTCTCCCACAATCAATTTGGACAGCATTTGGTCGCCAGTCAAAAAATTCATCAATCAAGAAGTGAAAGTGGATGCTGAAGCAGGTCTGGATAAAGAATTCCACAGCCACAGTGAAGTTTTAATCAAAGTCACTAAAATTTAACCTAAGATATATTAATAGTTGAATGCACAGCAAAACAAGCACATGAAGAACTGCCTTCCACTACTGGTCTTCTTAAATCTCATAGCACATGATCCCCGTATAGCAAGGTATTGATTGAGTTTAAGTGATCACTTCAGCTCAGAACCTATATCCCCTAACCAAACAGTCCAAGTCAATGCTACCCATCTATACTTCTACAACGTGAGAAACATCACAGAAATAGAGTTCTTTCAAGAAGAACTGCAAGCGAACCGGGGTGAGCAAAATACAAACAGCAAGCAAGTGCTACATAGATTGTATGAAATGGCGGCTAAAGTTCAAGCCGCACAGTTTCTTCTTCATAAATCGGCTGAAACAAGCAAGAACAATGTTCATATAACCTGTTTACTTATACATTAATTCTTGATCATAATGCTCACTCACTCTCACTATATCTATATATCAGTCTTTGGTAAACCTTCCGGACATATCCGCTTGTCGTTCTTAACGCATGTGATTAGCAACTTCACACACTTTGTCGGCAAAACATGTGTTTAGTTGCTTAATAGTGCTCAATCCCCTTTATATATATATATATGTGTGTTTTTGTTTGTTGTGATCATCCTCCCACTTTTGGAGTTCCCACTTCACCTCCTGTGTGTCTACAACCTAGTCGATTATATATATATATGTTACAGACTCATATGTGATTGTTCAACACTTGTTGTTTTACTTGTTCTGGGCTTAGTTCCTTATTTCAATTATGTGCTTTGTTCTGGAACGAATTTAAATAGCAAACAGCACATTCTTCCATAATGTGCGATCATACACCATACTATAACTTTTCATATCGGATGGTATTACCTATATTCAATTTCATCAACAATAAGCCCGATACGATGTCTATTTATTATCCTTTCCTTTTGCATCTTCTTATCCCGATACATTCTCTCTCCACATCTTCAATTGGTTCTTTCAATCGTTGGTCGATCGCTTCTCGAAATGAACAGTAAGGTCACCAACGTCAAACTCAGTTTCGTGTCACTGAACTGTCCAGCACAAATAGGTGATTTCACTGTATATAGATGAAACATCAAGGGGTTCCAAACTATACTGACTGTCATGCATATTGTGCCCCACTTGGACAAAATACATCATCTTTGTCGTAGACCTCAAGAGTTGAACCATTCTGTTGAAACAACACATTAGGAGTTGCACCATGTGAGTTATAATTAGCTGACAGTTACAGCGTATAGAATCTATTGTTTTAATGTAGGTAGGATGTATAATGATATGTCAACCATATATCTGCGAACGCCCCTAAAGATGGTGATGTGTCACAACAAATCCTTAAGATAGTTGCTACCTTCGGTACTTTCACAACTCCTACACAAGCCTTCACCTGCAAAAGGGTATACTTATTCCTTTTGTTACACAAATTGTTACATCGGTGCTAAACCTCATATACTCTTCGGCACTCCAATATACTGAACATGCACACATCATAAATCATTGTCATAACAAATTAGGCATTGTGCTTTCACGCACCGTAGGCCTCTTGACATTAAAAGAACATCTGACCTTCCAATGCAAAAGCACTTCTTGCCATGTTTTAAACCTTACTATCTTGCAGTGATTGAATAAAACAGCTTCCAACCCATGCAAAGAACTGAAATTGAACATAGTATGACTCTAATCTTTTTGAGTTTGTCTTTCTTAGACGTCCGGCATGTTTTAAGTTGTATCTGCATCTTGGTCTTACCGTGTCTTGCCAAACGAACTGATTTTGATTGACTTCCAACAACATCTCAAGATGTCCCTTACACCTCGTCATATAAATAGGCTCATACCTAGGGACCTTGTTGTTGAAATTCACTCTTCACCTTTTTCTTACAAGTTCAGAAGTACTCCTTCATACTCCTTCTCATTTTATATCAGGAGTGGCTTCACCCTCCAGAACAACCCGATATAAAATAGGAGTGTTATGGATTGTTTATCTGAAAAGCCCATGGATTCGATCTCCGCAACACGGATTCACAGGGCAGGTTTCTGCCGTTTTTCTGCGTCTTGAGTGGTTTGGCTCTGATCGCGGCCGATGGTCAGTCACTTCAGGATGGTGCCAGCATCAATATCTCAAGGTCAAAAAACCTAAGACATATGAAGAAGTGATAGACCAACATTCACATTAAGCACGACCCAAAGGATCCAAACTCATTCAAACATGTATAACCATTGTTCCATGGCCCGCGCCCATGGCGCGCCCTCCATCCTCCCCTCGGCGTCCCGACCCAGGATCAGGCTCCTCACTGGCGGGAAGCACCTCGGAGGGTCGACCCGACTTCGGTCCGAGTTCGGACACGGTCGCCTCGGGTGGCCGGGTCGCCGAGGCGACAGGTGGTGGGATTGAAGTGAGCACAAATCACATGAAGCAAAACCAGGTGCAGGCTGGGTGATTTAGTGGCATGAACCATTCTCAACTGGAATTCATCATAGTGCGGATTGCGTCTTGCTTGCAATCGTGGATAGCTACCTGGCACACCCTCAATCATGTGCTGACGTTGCCAAGCGCGGGTGGTGCAGAATCCCTACCTCTGGCAACACGAAGTCATACAGGTACGATATCAGGACCATTCAGGACCTTTGCTGCTTGACATCCATATGCTGCATGATTTGAATAACAATCTTGACGTCTTGCGCATTGTGCAATCAAAACGATGCATCCACGAATCAGCCAGAACCGAAACATACCAAAACTGTTGCCTCAAGGCGCCCAACCTGGTAAGTGCTCATCAAATGATTCAAATGCAACTCCTCTGGAGCTGGTGATTCTCCGGCCGGCCAGAACCCCAACGAATACAGCTGACCCAGGCTGTATGGCCCTCTACAGCTCATCCGGGCGCCTCTGGCTGTGGACTTCGCTCGCGAGAACCGTAGGCACGCTCCGAGCGCGCCAGGCTCTCGGCGTAGCGGCTCAGCCGCGGAAGCTTCTGCCGAAGCGGCTCAGCGCGCGGAGGCATGCGCGGGCGATGGGGGTTGGTGTCCAGCAACGTGGCAATGCCTCGGGTTCGGACGTTTTTGGAGCGCCGAAGTAATGGTACTAGTACTTAGTAGCCTTCTGACTCCTTCCGTTTTCGTCACCAAACCTTAGACCCAGAAAACAGCAAGGAATCCATCAAGGACACTGCTGGAGCTGGAGTGACCAACTGAGGTCGTTCAATGCTGAATTTCATATGCTGGATGATGCTGGATGAGCAGTGGCCTTCGGGCAATTACTGTTCTCCGTTTGCACCAATTGCTCCAAATGCTCAGTCCCAACAAAAACCCGAAAGTACCCAAGGCCTGGGCTGGGAGCTCAAGATTCAGACCTCATTTCCCTCTCGAGATCCATGCGGATCTGTTCTCAGCTTCGCCCGGGCAGTCCCGATGTCCCAGGAGCTGGGCTTGGAGCTCAAGCGCAGCCTTGGCATCAGGGGGCCTTCATTGGGGATGTGATTTGTGGTGACCAAGTGGCGGCGAATAAAGGAAACCATAGGAAACAAATTGAAAAAACACTTTGAGTAAATATGACACCATCTAATTCAGAGATGGAAATCACAGTTCATGGCGAAGCTTCACGCAAACAAAATCAGCAAGAGGCAAACATACATCACTCAAAAAAGGCATGGAACATCCCAAGTCAGACACCCAAAACCACTCTCAAGATCTCCCACACCATAGCTGTGGAGTTTGTATCCATCTACCTGACCTAGTTTGTGTCATTTTGTTGAAATTGGAGGAATTCTTTGACTGCAACTCTGCGACAGGAGATTGACAAGAAAACAAAGTCCATGACTTCCAACCCTCAGCAAACCCAACAGCCCACATGCCCCTGCCCCCAAAGAGTGTTTCGGTCTTCTGCCGTGTGACAAGCTAGCAGCCAGGACCTGTAAACCCCCCACGACCGTCAAGTCGTCCAAGTCATCCTGAGCTTGCGAGTGCGCTTGGGCTTGCAGGACGTGGAATCCACTGAAGTCGCTAGTCATTGACAAGACTCAGACCTATATAGGAAGCTGCTACATGGTCAATGACCAGCTCCCTATATAATTGAATCATGATAGATGCATGCTATCATACCCTCCTTGACTCCTTGAACTATAAAACATTGTATCAATCTTCTAAATGCCTTACTGTTGGTGACTATATGTTGCGCTCCCCAAGCAGCCGATTCCATCTCCTCATTCTTGACCTTCTAGACATTCCCCACCTCATCCTCCCCCCCGCGTTCCGCACCACAACAACCCCCCCCTCTTCCGTCCACGTGGTGCACCGCGCAAACGGCGAAAACGCGCGAAAACGCGCCGCGCTCCCGGCCTCAGTTTCGGCTCTCTTCGGCTTCAGTTTCCGTCGTCTCGCCTGCTTCACTCGTTTCGACTGCTTCACGGGCTCCGTGTAGGTCGCCCGCGCCCTGAACACGGAAGAAGGTGCTCCGTGTCTTTCGGAGGTTCCGGCATGGTGGTGGTGGTAGTGGTGGTGGTGGACACCAAGAACCGACAGGGGCGGTCTTGGGGACACAAGGCGGCCTAGGTGCAGGAATCGCATGAAGAAGAGTCAATCATTCAACAGTTTCAATAGTTTCACTGCTTTGAGTGATCAGCAATCGGAGAGGTGATTTGGAAGAAGGAAGTGTAGTAACAGTGTAGTAATGACATATCCAAACACATGACCTGACGAACTGCACTGCCATGAGCTGATGCATACTTGTTCTGTCATCAAGTCCAGCCATTGGAGACATGTTTTCACATCTTGTCGACTGTCTCGCATATCTTCCGGCATCTCTCCTGGATACGTATTCTGACATACCTATGATCTTCCAACTCTGCAACATCTGCCGAACTTGGCTGGTCAAAAAGGAATGAATAAAACAAACATGTTGTACAGTTGGAAAGATCTTGGCATCTGTTCCGGCATCAGGTTCGGCCCTTTGTCATTGCGGAGACCGGAGACATCTAGCCGGTGACGTTGCTCAGAGCAGCTTGCACCAAGAAGCGGAACACTGTCACGTCACATCTACCAGAGAGCCTCACCTGACAGTTGGGAAACAATAGGGATTTTGTATGATTTTGTGGACCCTTCACCCGCCTTCACCCTCCGCACACTTTGAGGAGCTCTTCCACATGCGCCAGTGTGGTCTATACACAGCAATTCCCCTTCAAACCAGCGAACGGGAGGTCTGGCTGGAAAAAAGAATGCTGGAAGACCCTCCCTGGTGCTCCAGTCGTGCATCCTCAGAAGGTTTTTGAACCCTTTGTGCATCCATTCCAAACACCTTCTCAGGAAGCACTTGGAACTCTGAAGGCCTCCCGTCCACACCAGGATATTCTCGTGAACTCGCGCGTCCGCTCGATCTCCCGTCCGCGTTCCGCACCCCGGTTTTGTGCGTCTGAACCACAGAACATGCCGTTGCTTCCTGGAGTTTAGGGCCAAGTGTGGCCAGTAGAGTTGCTAGATCAGTGGCTTAAGAAGCTTCCGTTGGGTGGGCCATCTTGGCAAAGATCTCCCCAGCAAACCACCCACCAGAAGGGTCTACAACCCTCCTTCCCACCCTCTATACGAGGGTCCAGCTTGAATTTCAACTCCAAGGCGCACGCGCACGGAGGGCAAGGAATCATCCAACCCCAGCTGCTTCGCCTTGTGCACATAGCCCTCACGCACGCCGCGCATGTTGGCAGAAGCCACCAAGACCTGAAAAAAGTGAGTTGAAGCGTGCGGCTGTTCACAGGGAAGCAAATGTCTAATCTCTAGCACCGATCAAAAAATTGCCGCCCAATGAAAAACTGTTAAAAAATCATGTCGGAGACCCCTCATTAATTTATTTTTACCTTTAGGTTCCCACTCTTTCAAATGGCTACTAAACTACCAAAAAGCGCCCAAGTTTCTTTTATTAGGAGGGGAGGGGGGGGGGGGCCGTGTTTTTAATATAGGCGGAAGGGATTCACAGGCCGAAATGGAGACACCTAGCTCCATGCCATCGCATAGCCTGGTAGACCTACCAACTACGAGTACCTCTAGTCTATACGAGTACTTCTGCGACTTCGAGCGGGTGGGACGAACCTCGGCCTGGTCGGACCGAGCCCGCTCGAAGAACCATGAGCCTTTTGACTTGAGAAAAGGGGACTGTTGCTGTCCCACTGAAAACACCTGAAAACACCAGCGCGCAAAGGACTTGAACATGTGAAGAAGGACTTGACAGTTAGAGCTTACATATTTGCTACATGCGCCGGCCGAACCAGGCGCTTCTTCCTATTTGCTCACCTAGTGGACCTCGACCACACCGCCGAGTCGCATGTCTGGGCATCAGCCGTTGGAAGGCAACACGCAGCTTCATTTCCGTCACCCTCAGCGCAAGTAAACATGTGACTGGCAGCAGGGAAGACATGGTGAGGGATCCACCTAGCTTGTCAAAAGGAAGTTCAGTTCTACCATCATCTTAATTTAAACTCTTTTCATTATCAGTGGATGACAAACTACTCTCCCCTTTAGATCCCTGTAGTATAAAGCCTCTTCAGGCTGCCAAGGCTCTTGGGCGCTTTGTAGAGGAGTGTTTCCTTAGCCAGTTGGTCAGTAGCACGAATACCGGTTTGCACCTGCTTCAAGGTATATTTATATATGGAGACTCATTCTCCCTGAACGAATCCATATAGTTCTTTTCTATGACTTGTAGTGGTTTGGGGGGTAAAGCAAGCCATCCACTATCATCCACTGTTCCACTTGGATTCCACCATCTGGAACAAGCAAGCTCAACGACGCTTTTGATGTTTTTGGACTTGCGGGTGTTGTAATGTGTTCGGGATTGTGAGGTGTTGCTTCTTTTTTGCGAAGTTTTGGGGGGCGGGTAAAGTTGGCAGTTTGCTTGGTATATATTGTTGACTTGACAAGCGCCCGCTCAATCTTAGGAACTTCTGGTGGTTTTAGGAGTTTGCGGGAGAAAGTTTAGGCCGCGTTCTGAGAGATAAACAGGCAAACAAGGACGTCCACAACAAATATATCCGGAGTCTTGGAGAATGAATCTCCGGGGACTATACCTCATCACACACATACACACGATGGTGAAGGTACGGTACAGCATTAGTCGAACATGGTTTTTCACTTCCTATACCACAACGCTCCATGTATGGAATATAATATATGCCTACATTGGGGTGGTTTTGGAGGTCAATGTAGTCACATGTATTATATATTATATTATATATATATTACATACATGGAGCGTCTGGGATAGGTCATACTCACATCCTTTCAACGAACTGGCCATGCTCTTATTGGTGACCTCATTCGGTCGCATGAAGTCATTCAACCGGACTCGCAGGAAGAAGCGGACGGTGAACATGCTGGATGCGTAGTCCCGACAAACATTCCAGTCACTCCAGTCGTACCGAACCTCGGAACTTGGACCCTCCTGGCACCTATATTGACAGTGTCTCCTCACCGAACCTGAGGTTCGGTACGACTGGATTCCTTTTTAGGAAGTTACAGTGGTTTCAAGAAGTAGATGGCACGGGCACATCCCCAGCCAGATTCATTGACCCTTTCTAGGCCCCCAGCGAAACACAGCTTCGACACTTCGCTCGTGTCGTCCAAGTGTCTACCGGCGGCAGCCGTGGGGTCCGCGCCTGTCTGCAGAGTCCACGCGCGGCACGGACCGTGCTATGGAGTGAATCGAGAGAGTCTCGCCGGTCTGGCGCCCGATCGACGGATCCACTGGCACCTTCGACTCGTTGATGTAGGTGGTCGCCAGGTTGGGTTCAGTCGCACCGAACCCGAGGAGGTATGTGGATCCCTTCAAAACCTCTGGTTTTAGGGCCGCTCCAACCCCCGTGATTTTGAGGCTCATCGGTGGAGGGCGGATCTGTAGGGCCTCCAGCAGAAAGCTTCGCTCCAGGCGCTTCTGGCACTGCCGTGGCGCCATCAAACGCTGTGACGGCGCCTGGGTGACTGCCAAGTCCTTGGGCGAGGTCACAAGGGTAGAGCTTGCTGAGCTCCCCATTGACCTCTTTAAATTTACTGGATGTGCCCTTAGCTGCACTCACTCATCAAGGGGATGATAATGCTTTTGAGGGACCAGGTGGGCTTAGCTGTGCCGCATGCTTCGAAACAACGAGCTAACAATGCTTCCACACTGCCGCAGTGTGGATCCACTACAGCATTCTACCATGCATCTGTCCAAACAACAGGAACCTTTGGTAGCCGTTGACCTACCAATCTTGCTGCGGGCCAAGCGCCCCTCTGGATAGACTATAGACTCAGTCCTCTCTATGGACCTTGAGGCACACGCACACCAGCGCGCCTAACGTGCTCTGAATTGGAAGTCCTCTCTCGCACGAGACCGGTGGGTCGACGTGTCTTTTTTGAAGGGTCTACCGGTCAGTGGATTGAGAGTAAGTATAGATGCCATGCCAAGTTGGGTGTTTTTGTGGACCTCCATCAGTCATTCGACATCTTGAGGTGCCAGTGCCATTCTGCTCTGGAAAAAACAGCAAGCACAGGTCTGTCTTTCCATTCCGCCGAAGCGTCGACCACTTCTTCCTGTGCCTCCTGCCAGAAAAACTTGGGCGTCCGCCGCAAAGCCTTGTCCTGCAAGCTGAGCCGTCTATCGGTGCCGATCAAAACTGCCCGATAGACGAGTGTTCAAAAGAATCCTCGGGTAAAATGTTCAGCTCCAGTTTCCGAGAAATTGCTTGAAACGATAGAAGACTGAGGTGTTGAGTTAAAAAAATGAAGCAGGAAATTTGGATGATCGCCTCGGATGCCCAAACCCAGCTGAAGCGAATGGAATCGCAGCCTCCGCTGCCCAGAATGGGTCAGAAACTACCAGAGCCCCCTAAGGGGTGTCATAGACACCCATTAAGCTCTAGGGAGCTATTGTTGGACACCTGGTAATACCATGTATAGACTAGATGCTCTACGACTCTACGAGTATCAATGAACATATCTTCTACTCTACCGACCCTACCCACCCCACGATCGATCTGCTCAGCAAAGCTCGCCTGTCCTCGGTGCCTCTGACACGGCTGGGCTGAGACTTGGCCTTCTTATGGTCCACCAAAAAGGCCTGGTCGCGCACCGCGCAGCGCAATTCAACGCAGCTTTTTCCAGAGAACGGTGGGGGTTGATCTGGAAACTGGTTGCGATGAACTCCTTGCGAGGGAGACGCATGGCGACCTTCCAAGGTGGAAGAAAACATGACCTTCCAAGGGTCAATCAGCATTAGGCTGTTCAATGTTCACCTTCGACGGATGCCCATTTCTGAGGTGGTCCGTATCTACACCTGAGATTTTGTCAGAGGTGGTGTTGTTACCATCCTCGGGACACTACGGTTTGCCTACGGTTCCAGTGTGTAAATTTACCGCCTACCAGAACCTACGAAGGTGAGGTTCGAGAAATGCTGCTCCAATTTGCCTGCGGTGCCATGCTATGATTGGAAACGTTTGCGCAGGAGCTCACATGCACTCTATGGCAGTATGGGCAGGTTGGTTACATTGGCTACGTGCTTCAGAATGGAAGAACAGCAAGCAACGACTTCATGCTCATCAAAAGCTTCCCACATTACTTCAATGGCGAGGGACGATACCACGCGGCGCCTGTGCTTCTGTGTATGCACAGCAGGTTTTGACGTCTACTTGACGTCTACTTGACAGGTCGAGTGGACATGGGGTAAGGATCACGACGTGCATTGACGCCTACGGCCGTACGGAGAACCTGCAGTGCGCCGAAAATGCACCAAGGAAACAGAACAATGTCCTTTGTGTGTTGGGCGTGCTCATGTCTGACACCCTGAAATGAGAAGTATGGGCAGTATGGGCTATATCGAGACCCAAAAAGCCAAAACCCCAAAGTGAATCAGCATCAGCTGGGTGACTTCAAGGCGTGTTTCAACACCGGAAAATGCCTACAACAAAACGCCCAGGCCCAGCTTTCCGCCAAAGTCCTTGAAGGTGATATGTTGTATTTAAGAAACTTTTCAGAATTACCACACTTAACTCAGGTCACCTAGGAACAAACGTGTCAGGAAGAGTGGGCCAGCATAGCTTTGCGTCTTTGCGTGCAGACGTTTGGGTCTGGCTGATCGCGTCTAGACGCCATCCCTGAACCGAATGCCAGCTCCCCGCAGTTTCTAAGTCTCGAAAATGACATGGGCAAGTCTCCACTCGTCCATTATTATTTTTGCTGGGATCTGCTCAATATATAGAAAGACGGCGTGTGCTTGATAACGCTCTGCTCTCCATGTCTTAGAAGAGGGGATTCCGCTGGCTGATAATTGAAAGATGGTGCACGAGAACCTGCCCTGGGCAGCCCTAATAAACATCCACACTAATCATAAGATACTATAAATTATATATAATTGTATAATATACTGTATATCTGTTGCGCACAGAGAATGGTATCCAAGTTGCAAACTACCCCGATTGCAAATTGAGTCCATCCGGATATCTTAAAAGTTGCCTGGCTCTTGCTGACTATGTTAACAATGTTGCTACCTCCCTATGGACCACAAATCCTTGTGCACACCTTGCGGGGTTGCGCACGCAAGGCGTGGCTGACCAAATCCTTGTGCACCGCATTGATGATGCACCTCGATCGCAAAAAGAAAAGGACCACCCACTGGTGTTGCATAGCCTTTTGTCTCCTTTGTTTCTGACAAGCACCAAAAATCCAAAGGAAAAAGACGGATTGACAAGCACCACCACTATACCACGGTGGAATCCACTGAGGACGAATTGGTTGAAACTTAGAAGATCTTGGAAGATGGGGCTGAATAGCCAACTCATGTGTTGCCTGCAGCAGTGGAGCAGGCCCAAATGAACAGTTCTTCAACTCTCCATCAGTTTCTCTGTGACACGAAGGGGCATAATCATATGGTAGTTAGGTAGTTACAACTCACGTAGAACACAAACAAGATTGCGAAGCTGCACCTAAGGTAATAATCAACTTTTCTGAAGCCTACTTCGCCCCAGCAATGCCCATCTGCGTCTCAAGAACAAACCAATGTCCTAAATACCATTGATGAACAAATCCTTGACCACCGTTTCATGTCTCAAGCACGATGGAGGCGGTTCGAGCCTCTCAACCACAGGTCCAAGTGACAAACAGCATGCTGTGATGGTCGCGCTGCGGTGGGTCTGGCCTGAAGTTGGCAGGCCACACCCGCAGCAAATTGTTCAACCCCGTCTTCGGTCTTTAAACATTTTTTGACCCAGAGAAGAGGTCGTTTAGATTCGACTGACCTGTGAGCGATCAAGTAGGGAGTCATTTTGCAGGTGAAACCCTGAAGATTGGTGAGATTGAGATATTAATTATTAGCTAGTTTGCAAGCTGCTGGTAAGACTTGGATCCATAAAAAGGTGGGCTGAGCTTGTTCTATCAAGCTTCCAACATATTTTTCCACATGTACATATACATCAAGTTAGCTACGTCGTGGACCATCGTGGACCCCTGCTCAGCCTGCGCGATATAATTGATTGCACCCCGCTGGTCGTCACTGGATGCTAAAACTGTGACCGTATGGCCTGACCAGTGAGTTCCTTGGAAGCTGTAAAACTCTTCCAGAGAAGGTCTTCTCCTTCTCAGCTCTTCAACGAAGCAGCAACCTTCACAAAACTCCGCAAAGCCGCCCTGCCGAGGAGGGCCGCCTGTGGTGGCTAAGGCCGTGACCAAAAAGGACCATTTCACCGAAGGTCACTCCTTCTTCCAGAAAGCTGGTCTTTCCTGCCAAGGTCAGGGAAATGCCATGATCTTCCCAAGAAGCGTGGTTTGGAACAACATCCAGTGGATCCCTTTTGGTGGAGGAAGTATATAAGTATTGAGTCGAGCCTATTGGAGATCTACATCATTAGCTTACTGATCTCAAGACAACTGGTGAGAATCTAGCAGCCAGCCTTCAGCTGTAAACTGGGTCAGCACTTATCGGCATACAAATCACGCTGACTACAATCCCACAGTCTAGCAGAAAAAAAGCTCCTCTTCCATCACTTTTGCATGCCATGACGGCCGAGCACTCCTCACACCCTTTGAATCATCATCAACTCATGACGCCGCACCACATGCGATCCCCACAGGTGCGATCCCCGACTGTGCGAGGGGGGTGTCCTTTTTCGATCTGAAACCCACCGTGCCACGGTGGATTGGTGTCGTTTACTGTGCTGACACACCGATCGACACACCGGCTCACTCGACGTGGAGTCGAGTAGAACTTCGAGGCCTTCCTGGAAGGGTGCCTTGAACGGTGGCTCAGTTCAGCGCTGGCTCCAACGGCGCTTCATCGAAAGTCAAGAGCACTATGCTCAGTTCGGAGTCCTTGTGATTGCACTTCAACTCTTCCACGCATCCTCAGCGACACATGCAGTTCGTTCTTGCGGGACATCTGCAAGCTCGAGATGGCATCGAATTGCGTCTTAAGGAAGGAGAAACCATGAGAAACCTAAGAAGAGGAAGAATAAAAACAAGAAGAAAAGCAAATAACATGCTTAAAAAAACTACAAAGAAATCACAAAATAAACGTCGCTTTTCTGACTAGCTACTTCAAATAAACTCTCCAAGTGTCAGGATAAAAATGAACTCTCCCGTATCACCGTCGCTGAAGATGCACTGGCCCGGCAGAAAAGTCCGCAGGAAGATATTGTCGCTCAAGAGGCCGAGCACTTCCTCAACCGGCGATGGCAGGAGCCGAGCCATCACGGAGCCGAGCCCATCGACTAGGCTAGGCTATATGGGAATCCACTGAAATAGAGCATAGCAATATATGCATGCATTGATCCATGTGGTGAGTGTTTGCGAACCGCTTCTTGGACTCGAGAAGACATCTCAATGCCGGACTTGTCGTTTCAAAACATGGCGACCAATTCCAGAAGCATGGTGTTCACTTCCGTCGTCGGATCCTGAAGCGGCCATTTGTGCCTCTGAAGAGGTCATGTCTGATCCTCATCGTCACGCCCCAAAACGTCCCTCGATCCAGGGTTGAGTTGGTCCAGGTTGGTTCGGGTCAGTCACTGAGCCAAGTAAACGCGGTCTGCCCACTGAAATGCAAGCGTTGACAGGTGTCGCGTGTGGACAAATAGCACGTTGCATCACGTTACATCATATGTATCATCATGTTACATAGTATATTCAAATAAATATATATTTGATCGTACATATTACTTATATAATATACTATATATTACATCATATTATATGCATATCCTTCTGAGTGTTCTACCATGCCGAGTGGATAGCTACAGTCCTTTGGCGGTCCAGAGTAGATGGTCTTCCGTCGCCCAGTGCTTCGTCGCCCACCCCTTCACCGGCCCCAAACTCATTCCCTCGTCAAAACCCGTTTGCTTGGTGACCAGGACGTCCTGGATTTGCTTGCTTGGAACCGGGATGAAGAAATACCTCCCCGATCTCCCCGTTTCAGAGGCTTCACCCATAGGAAGTGCCACCACAAACATCACCTGATCCGCAAAAGCAGGTAGTGACATGTAGTGACCACATGTGATCGTCATGTTCAACCCAAATTGCGGTGGCCTAACTCTGAAAGGAGACGGCCCGAGGATCCGAGTTGAATCTCCTCCAGGTCTTCATGTTCCTCATGTTGGATCCTTAGCAGGAAACGACCGGAGGCCGCGGAGGTGTACCCCGGGTGCCCTCTTGGAGCGAAGGAAGAACGTAGGTGGGGGCCGACTTCGGAAGAAGAGGGGAGCAAGAACGTTTCAGGTCTTGCTTCATCTAGGAAGCTTGATTCATCTAGGAACCTTGATTCATCTAGGAACCTTGATTCTAGGAACTCGATTCCTGTTTTGCATAGATATCATGAAGAAACTTCCTTCATCTTAAATTCATATATATATATATATCTATATCTCTCTATATATGTATATATATATATGATTCTTTAATCCTTGGAGGGGACCTCAACGTTGCTCACCATGCAGCCCGGGGCGCTCAACTTGCCGTGGATCTCCTGCGTCAACTCCTGTGCTCAGCCAATTGCGGCCTCCAACCTGGTAGCAATGGCCTCCACCCTACTGAAACGGGAAACAAATTAGATGAGTTTCAACGCGTGCATCTGTTTTTTACATGTTCAATAAAGGATGTGAATTCTCGAAGGTGACCAAGTGATACCCTACACCTCCAGTCATATTACTCTGAGGTCCGGTGTGGGTGCGTGCGTGCCAGGAGGGTCCATCCAAACCGCTGGAGCGGCTGTGGCTCCGTGCCTTTGAAGAACCCGGTGCGATGTGTCCGGTTTGGTGTGACGGAAAAAGGTGCCCGCCATCTATCATTAAAATGGTGTTCATATATAGGTAGAATCAGGTAGAATTTAGCTTGAAGAACCTTAAGTGAACTGGTTTACTCAGCTATTCCAACCACATTCAATTGCACAAGTGGAGGAATACAACCCACCCTGTGACAAGATCTACGGGATGCAACCAATTCTGCGGTTTTTTCTCCCACCAATCGAGCCGAGGCGTTACTGCGCAATGGGCTGCAACCACTTCGAGTCTTGACCCTCCACCCCTTGGTCTACCCTTCATCTCCCAGTCTCCTGCATATCTTCCGTCATCTGCTCCACGCGCCGACACGCCTCCGTGCTCGGCACGTGCTGCGCACGCGTTTGAGCGTGCGCCGCGCGCGAGCCGGGTGTGTCGGCGTGGCTCAGCTTGGAGCGGTGCAAGCGCCAGATGACCGCAGTGGACTTAGCGGTCAAGCTGGCCTGGGATTGTGGCGATGCCGTACTGGACAGGGGCGATGTCATGTTTGGCACCTTCTCAGGCTGCCAAAATGGTACCTTGTCAGGTGAGGACGGAGACACTGTTATGATGTGTTTCAGAGGGTGCAGTCGTACCTTTTGAGGTAAGGTACTTGGACCCCTAGGGACCCTAGGGCCTTAGGGGTTAATGTATATATGTGAAACCAACAAAAACAATGAACACCACTTCTTCGCGATCCGGGGTCCTATCACGATACCGCACCAATACTGCTGGCAAACATATATCCAGTTCCTTTCCTACATCATTTTTACATGTCCCTTCCTGACTTCAGACATCTTCAGACACATCTCAAAAAAATCTCAAACATCTGACTCGTCTGGCACTTTAGGCTCCAGCTGTCTGTCTGTCCAGCTCCCGTCCCTCCAAACGCCTCAACCTCCCAGCTCCGACGGCCCGACCTGCCGACCATCCCGCCGAGGTACCGCGTGGTGCCGCTCGGCGAACAAGCAGAACTCGTCGAAGTAGTCGGGCGCCAAGGCATCGAAGGTCACGATGCCCTGCCGGGACCAGGTCACCTCACCTCGGTGGCAAGGTCAGCAGGTCAAGGTCAGTGAGAAGACGAGCCGGCTCGTCGTTCACGCAGGTCCGGTGGGGCAAGTGGGGCAATTGGGGAAAATCAGAAGTTTGGGGGGTGAAAACTATGGAACAGCCTGCAAATGTTCCCTTAAACTTAAACCACCGAAAGAATGTTAACACATCAATTCATTTCGTTTGACCTTCCCGCATGTTCTTCAGCAAAGTTCAGGATGCTCCCCATATTTCATCAACATTTGACGCTCTGTTTGGAAAAGTCTCGTCAGCGAAAATTTGGGCTGAAGGTCCACTGTATGTGTGTCCTCTATAGAATGCACATGCCAGGACCTTCCAACAGGTGGTGGCTTTAGAAGCCTAACAGGTGGTTTCTGGGCACCTGTTGTCACCAGGAAACACCTGTTGGAGGGTCCAGATGTATATTAATCAATGTTATATAATATAATATATATATATATACTGTGTATATATATATATATACAGTGGGCCTATCCCATTACCAGTAACAGTGGATCTTTTTTGGTTAGCAAAGGCCTCTCTAGAATAGTGAATAGTGATACAGTAGCTTGTTTAAGCAACTGTTGCAGGTCATCGGAGAAACCCAACACATAATATATACACATATAACATCAAACAAATGAACGGGCCACAAAAGACTAAAATGAATGAAACCTGCAACCCACCAACCTCTCCCAAGCTCAGCGCCAACTCATGTTGTCTGGCTGAAACAAAAAAATCAAGCCTGGAGATGTGTGGCCATGTTTGGCCATGCAAGTTCTTTTTCAACCTTGTCAGACAACCAATCACCCCGAAAAATTGGAACCTGGCATGGAACGTTGGAAGGCCATTTTCCTCTTCCCACCCAGGTCGTTCCATCCACATCCACGCCCAGTCCACTCCAAGAGACCCGAGATGAGCAGCAGCACCGCGTCGTTCGCCACACCCTCTGGCGCGATGAGGCACCCGGCATCGTAGACCGCCGCTTGGAAGTTTTGCGCCAGCGACTGAGGCGGTGCCGCGCGACGAGGCGACGGGGATGGAAGTCCGGACCTTTGATCGGGTGGATGTGAAAGATGTGGAAAGCCCCTATGGATCCACTGCCACCTTCTCAGGTACGGTAATTGAAGACTATTGATGTAGGCGCCAGGAGGGTCCAATTACCGTACCTGAGAAGGTATGTGGATCCATAGGGAAACATGTGCCCATTCAGTCATGGATTGTTGGGTGCAGGAACGGCTATACGAATACTACACGGGTGCCTGGAACTACACCTCGCCTCACATCGGTCGACCACTCCAGCTACCGCGAAAAGCGACCACGCGGACCGAAATTGGGCGGTTTCCAAACAGAACTTGGAACCTGGGAAGCCGGGAACCAACAGGATCTTCACCTGAATGAGGGGCAGTTCGGCCCAGGAAATCGGCCCCAAAACTTCAAAAGCTACCTCCGCAACAACCAGGAGAATCACCTTGAATTGATCACATGCAAATTCCATCTTCAAGGTCCAACTGATTTTTTGCCCAACGCAAATCCTTTACCACCCATCCGATCGAGAATGGAAGAGTCTTTTGTGGGACAAGTGGCTGCGCAAAATTCTGCGTCAATCTCCTGAGCAAAAACATGATGTGGCTCCGGCATCAAAAAATGCGACTCCGGCGCATGGGCACTTCCATGCCCCCGTGTTGTTGGATATTGGGAATTGAACCTGCTTTACAATGTGTCATCACACATGGGCAACATAGCTACGCCCAGGGGCTCCTGGTGCATCTTTAATCGCTGAGTCTGCTTTCCCTGGATTCAATTTGCCACACACTGAGTCTGTCCAAAGAAACCACGAAAAGAAACCACGTCCGAGATTCGCAGTGGCCCCTCACAAACAAGATCAACTCAAAAAGTCGATGAGAGCGCAGTGTCTTCGACTTACCTTCTCCCACATATTCTCCCAGGTTCCAATGTACAAAAGACCCTGCAAAGCAACGGCTGAATGATGTCCCACCTGGGCGGTCACATGCTGCGATTCCAGGTGACGACCCATACGAAACAAGAAGCTCAAGCGTTCCACCCAGACAAGCTCTCTAAGTGTTGAGAACCCTGCACCAATATGAAAAACACCGGCGCCCAGCGCCCATCGGTGGCAGCAAGGAGGAGTTCAGCAACCATGTATACTATACATATTTGTATGGCGTTCTTTGGGTGAGGCTAGTCCATGGGACAAACTCCTGCACCCCTCGTGGACAACAAACTACCACATCATGCATTCCAAAAAACTCTCATCTGTGCCAAACCCTCATGTCAAATCATGGCAAAATCCTATTTGGAGATCCCGGGCACACCCGTGGCCATCCCTAGAAGTTTCCAAACCCCATCTTTCCACAACACATCCCTTGCACGATCCATCCCAAGCACGGCCCTACATGGCCTTATCATCAGCCATCTTCTCCCAAGCCTCCTTCCCAGCCCATCCATCTCCCCTGTCTGAATCCCAGGGGCACTAAGGTTTCTTTGCCCTTAAACGGATGATTCGGAGGGACTTCCTTCAGCCCAGCCAGCTCCAGCAGCTGTGGCAGCTGGTCGGGGAAGAACATCAACGCCTGACCGCTGCATGTGGTTGCAGCACCCGGTACGAGCAGTGCTCGCGTCACCGCCTACAGCGCCTACCGAAGCCACATGGACGTGGCCCACACGGATAGAAACCGCAGCAAACAGTGCTCTGGGTCCAAAGAAATTCTAAAGCCGGTGCTTCTGGAGGAACTTCTACAAAGTTCACACCTCGTAAAGCCTCTCGAAGTGAAAACGACTTGCTCGAGCACCGCCGGGCCCTTGGAACGGGGCCTGTTCGACCGCCTTCCAGGTGACACGCACCAAGGTACAACCTTGACGTCCAGCCATGAGCTTATAATCAGCTGGCCCAGAGTGGAGTCCTGACGGCGTTCTGAGAACGACCAAACAACCGGCGCGCCGGTTGATCTGCGTCGATCCAAAAAAACACGGCGTCTGCCCAAGCGGCCCAAAGCGGCTTTGAGGCCAAACATCTCCCACTTCTTCGCAAAGCGCGAGGTCACCTCCGCGCGGATTCTTTGCGGATTCCGTGCGGATCTGTGGGAATCGTTGTGCTCGTTGCAACGGATGAGGATTGACACACCAGAGTCGGACGTAGGGTGATCATTGGGGGCTTGTTCCCTATCTGGCTGAAGCCTGAGACGCCGTACCAGTAGAACGCCTTAGGTAAAACATCGTTCGTTTCTGTTGGCAACTCTGGAGACAAACAGGTAGGTTGATTGCAGTAGTCAGCCTGGCAGCTCATGGCGGTATTTTGGGGTCCATAATATGGGTTCATACTCGCCGATGATGATGATGATGATGATGATGATGATGAGGAGGAGGAGGATGACGATGATGATGATGGTGACGGTGATGACGATGACGATGACGATGACGATGCTGATGCTGATGCTGATGCTGATGCTGATGATGATGATGATGATGATGATGATGATGATGATGATGATGATG